TCCTGGACCCCCTCCAGCAACTCTGGCTCCTCCCCACCCCTAGGACCGGCCTCCGGGCGGGATGCCCTCCCGGCGCCCTCCCTCCCGCCTCGGTCCAGCCCCCGTGACCCTGACCCTGGCCGCTGGGCGGCCGAGAGGACTTGGGTCCACGCCGCCCCCTGGACTCAGGAGCACGAACATCCCGCGGTCTCGCCGCCCTTGGCCTCTTCTCTGCGGGATGTGGGGCAGCTCTGCTCCCCAAAACCCTTTTTGTGCACCCCCTCCTTATCAGGTAGGGATGCCTTTCTTGGGATCGTCCGGGTGACCAGTCCCCAGCATCCCTGAGACACTCATTTCAGAAAATTCTTCCCAGAAATACCGACCCCCCCCAAAATCAAATGATACCTTGAGGAGTCATGTGGTCCCTCCCCCTGCCTCCCATACCCTAAAGCCACAAGAGAAGGCATGTTTCTCCCTTATGGGGGACTCTGGCATTCAGCAACTTTCATCACCAGCAAAGATGTCTAGTCTGGATCCTGCAGGCTGCCTCCCCTGACCGTTCTTCATATCTATCCTCAGTGGTGACAGATTCAGCGGGCTCCTATGGGGTCTTGGGAAGACTTTCAGGAAACTCAGAAACCCATGATGGTATTCATAAGGCCCGCGGGAAGTCGAGGAAAACAGTGTCCAAATAGTGGCTCAACTCCTGGGTACCTTCCAGCAAGTATGAACAAGCATATCAGTAACCACCACCATTTATCTAGTTCTAAGCCCCAGGCTGATATCCAGAAATAGAGGATCTCAAGTAACTTCCTGGATCTCTCTCTCTCTCTCTCTCTCTCTCTCTCTCTCTCTCTCTCTCTCTCTCTCTCTTTCTGGACTTGTTTCTTTATCTGTAAAATGGGGATTATAAACTCTGTTTTAGGAGTTGTTTTGAGGATTAAACAAGGAAACGTTTGTAAAGTGACTGGCGCCCACTGCTGGATACAAAGATCTCATTCTATCTTGGTACAGTAAGTTGCAGGATTCTCCACCTAGAGCTGAGAGATTCCGGTGCAAAGTGCTCCAAGAGCACCAGAGGGATCCTCCGCTTCAGTTAACCAGTTACTGGTGCCTGAAATCCCTCTATTGGCATTGCACTTCCCCGCTGTGAATTACTCACTGTAACTAAGTGATGGAAGTCTTTGTTCCTCAAGAGCTTTAAATGGGGTTAAGTACACAAAGATGTGCACACAGAGATGTTTTCCAGCCCAAGAACCTGCAGGAAACCAACGTATTTCACCCAAAAATACACCTCTTAGACCTATTTTAAGACGGCTATTCAGAAGGGCTGAAAATACAAGGCAACAGAAAAGTTGTTTTTTTTGTAGGGAGATCTGTATCTGTAAAGAATCTGCATTGATGCGGCCAGGCTTTCTCTGAGGCCTTCCTTTGTCCGGATCTAGGAAAGAGTAAGTGAGAGTCTGTCACTTTTAAAGTCTGAAAGAAATGGGTACCATCTATTCTCTCTGAGGACTGCTACCTGTGAGGTTTCATCTACATCACAAGACCACCTTTGCCAGCCAGGCCTCCTCCCCCTCCTGTAACCTGTTTTGCCAGAATCCAAGCCCCAGTTCTTTATGTAACCTCAAGACAGCATATAAACTTCTGTATCCCATTGGGGGATTGGGATAATCACACTGTGGTTCTCCCCCGGCAAGTTAATACATCTGTAAGCCATTTGTCCTATTAATCTGTCTTTTGTCCGTTGATCTTTCAGCAAAACTTCAGAGGGTAAAGGGGAAGTTTTCCCTTGGCCCCTACAGACCCGTGCTGGGGGATGTCCTGGAGATGAGTGACCCGAGAAGACTTCCTGGACAAGGTGGGACTTGAGCTGAGCAAAGCTGAAAAACTCATCCTGCCTTTAGTGAGGCCCAGGGGGAAAGTTGCATCAGGAGGGAAGGAGGCTGGGAGCAGGGTGGTAGGAGTTGGTGAGGGAGAAGCCAGTCTGGTTGGACATAAATGGCCACATAAAACTCACTTTTGGCATAGGAATGTGAAGTCGGCACCCCAAAGAGGTGGCCAGTGTGTGGGGTAAAGGTCTGGCCATCACCTCTTTCCTCCATATCTGGCTTCTCTCTGCCCCTCCCCTGGGGAGCTGCCCCTGGCCAAGGCTGCTTTCTTCAGGATATGCATATTCCCAGTAACCAGTCACTGGATTACAGAGTCATGAGATAAATGTAACCAAGCAACCTAAAGACAATGTAGTCATTACTCTTTTTTTTTTTTTTGAGTTGGAGTCTCACTCTGTCACCCAGACTGGAGTGCAGTGTCACGCTCCCGGCCACCGCAGCCTCGACCTGCTGGGCTCCGGCGATCCTTCCACCTAAGCCTTCCAAGTAGCTGGAACTACAGGCATGTGCTACCATGCCCGGCTAAGTTTTTGATTTATTGTAGAGATGAGGTCTCGCCAAGTTGCCCAGGCGGGTCTCGAACCTGCAGGCTCAGGCAATCCACTCACCTCAGCCTCCCAAGGCGCGGGATTACAGACTGAGCCACTGAGCCCAGCTAGTCATCACTCTTAATCAGTGTATTTGTAAACACTGTATTGGAATTTAAATAATTAACTTGCTTGTCCTCTCAGATTTGGCCTACTGCGTTATACAGTGCTACTGTAGAACACTCACGGGTGTGGATATGTGAAGGGGCTAGTCAGGGCACATTTATGAACTTAGCTCCGGATGACATGTCCCAATCCAGGGGAACAGCAATAAGACTTTATTTATTTATTTATTTATTTTTGAGTATGAGTCTCACTCTGTCCCCCAGGCTGTAGTGCAGTGGCATGCTCATGGCCACCACGGCCTCAACCTGCTGGGCTCAGGTGATCCTTCCGCCTTAGCCTTCCAAGTAGCTGGAACTACAGGCAAGCGCCACCATGCCTGGCTAATATTTATTTATTTATTTGTTTATTTATTTGAGTTGGAGGCTCACTCTTGTCGCCCAGGCTGAGTGCAGCACCATGCTCACGGCGACTGCAGCCTCCACCTGCTGGACTTAGGCGATCATTCCACCTCAGCCTTCCAAGTAGCCGGAATTACAGATGCATGCCATCATGTCCAGCTATTTTTTGCAATTTACTGTAGAGACGAGTTCTCACCATTCCCAGGCTGATCTCGAACCTACGGGCTCAGGCAATCCTCTCGTCTAAGCCTCCCAAAGTGCTGGGATTACAGACTGAGCCACCGCATATGGCCTATTTATTTGTTTTTTGTTTGTTTTGAGTTGGAGTCTTACTCTGTCACCCAGACTGGAGTGCAGTGGCCGCTCCTGGCCACTGCAGCCTTGACCTGCTGGGCTCCGTGATCCTTCTGCCTCAG